GCACAGCGATTCTTTCGAATGGCAGTCCAACGTTATATTGTTTCATTTTTTCCCTAGATCGAGTGCTTGGTTCTTGGCTGGTTGCACACACAAATTTTTACATTGTCGACACCATTTCTTAACATCCTCGCAATAATCCACCCAGTAAAACGATCTCTCAGCTTGCTCAAGGTCTTGTTTACCCCAAGATGGGCTCCAGTTTTACCACCGTGAATTTCTTCCAATACCCGGGTAACTTTCTTCCTTGGTACCAGTAACTGAGTTGTTACTGTGCTACCATCCGCACTTTCCCACATGCGCTTTAACAATCCATTCTCAATAACCAGTGAATTCCACTGAGCCCAGAGAGCATTGAAAACGAGCCCTCTGTCCGCAATATCCGCCACGGTGGTCTCTCGTCGTTACCTTCCTTGAGCCGTAGTATATTGCTCCTGGATGTCTGGATCTTCCATTTGATCTTTCCTCACTTGTGTCGTCGTCCACTGTTCATCGGTTCCAAGTTTAAAACTCCTTATAATGACAGTGCCTTCACGTTGTTCCGGTTTACAGCAGTGCTTACAATCGGTTTGACAGGGTTTTCTGGATAAACCGTCTGCGTTGCCATGCATTTTTCCAGAACGATGTTGGATGGTAAAGTGATACTCTTGGAGCTTCTCGAGCCATCGTGCCATTTGACCTTCAGGTTGTTTCATCTCCATAAGCCACTTGAGAGCCGCATGATCTGTCCTAATTAAAAATTCTTGGCCATACAGATATTTATGGAAATGATCGACTGCTTTTACAATTGCTAGCAGCTCCTTCCGGTAACGCAGTAATTCCTTTCTGGTTTAGATAGAACTCGACTGTAATATTCTATCACACGTTCTTCGCCATCTTGGACTTATGATAGCACTGCTCCTATTCCGATGTTGCTGGCATCTGTATCCAGGATATACCTCCCTTGTTGTTGTGTGTAGGCTAAAATAGGACTTGAACATAAAGCCGCCTTGAGTCTTCCAAAGGCTACATCACAATCGGTGTTCCATTCGTAGCCGACTTCATCACCTGTAGGTCTATGTAAGGGTGCAGCTATATTGGCAAATCCTTTGACAAATCTTCTGTAATGGGTGCATAAACCCAGAAAAATTCTAAGTTCATGTTTGTCGTGAGGTTTAGGCCAATCCTTGATTGCAGCTATTTTCTTCTGGTCGGTGTAAATTCCGTCTGCTGAGACTACATGGCCCAAAAATTCCACTTGTCGCTGGAATAAGCTACACTGCTTCGGGTTCAAGTACAGATGAGCATTCCGTATGCGGACAAAGACTTCTTCTAAATTTCGCAAATGCTCCTCAAAAGTTCTTCCCATAACCAATAAATCGTAGCCAAGCACGTTTTCCAAGATAATCCTCTTAACACCACATCCATGAGACGTTCGAAAGTAGCTGGAGCATTGCATAATCCAAACGGCATGACCTTGAATTGGTATAGTCCGTTTTCTGTAGAAAAAGCCGTCTTTTCTTTGTCTTACTCGTCCAGACCAACTTGCCAGTATCCACTCTTTGAGTCGAGAGTGGAGAACCAGCACGAACCTGCCAGAGTGGTTAACGTGTCGTCCATACGTGGCAGTGGGTAGCTGTCTTTCTTAGTGACGTCATTGAGCTACCGATAGTCCACGCAGAACCGTGTACTACCATCTTTCTTCGTCACCAAAACAGCAGGAGATGACCATGGACTCGATGATTCTTCGATAACTCCATCTTCTAGCATCTATCTACCATTGTCTCCAATTCTTGTTGTTTGGAAAGGGCACCCTTCTAGGACGTTATCGAATCGGCTGAGCATGAACAGTATTAATCCGGTGCTTCACAAAATCTGTTCTTCCACTGTTGTTCTTCCCAAAAATACTGCCATGCTTTAGCAGGAACTGCTTAGCCTTCTGTTTCTCCTCAGATGTTAGGTGATCCTATGGCTGCTCTAGATGTTTTAGTGTTTCTTTGGATACCATTTGCGTAACAGCTGACGACACTCCATCACATCGGGTGACACTTCTTACAGGTTCGCAGATAGCTATCTTGTCACCTTTTGAATCTTGACACAACTCGGGAAAACATTCGCAAATCTGATCGGTATATTCTTCTCGGTGTTCACCAATGATTTTCCTACTAAGCACCTATCTTGTTTCTTGTCGCCACTTTGTACCAGTCCAACACAGCACCAAGCGATTTTCTCCACTTTAACGAATACGATCTTCTCGGTATTACCAGGTATCACCACAGTTTGCGCTGATCTTACATCCATTCTTCCTGGACCCTCGTCTGGAGATAACATGAACTCTTCATTTCCGTATTTAAGATATTTCTTTGGTGATCGAACGAAAAACCATGTTGACGAATCACATCCATGCCCAAGATGAAGTCATCTTCAATATCTGCCACTAAAACGCTATGCTGGAACTTTAACTTTCCTAACTTCAGTTCGACGATAGCCTCTCCCCGTACAACGGCCATTTCCCCCGTAACTGTACGTAAACACACTCTTCTTCTCAGAGGCATCAGCTTCACTCCTTGCACTGAGTTAGCCCGCACCAACGATACCATAGCGCCAGTGTCCACTGTCATTCGGATTACTTTTCCATTGACTTTCCTGTCGATCACCAAACTGTCAGCGGTTCTTCCTAGACTCTTAACGGAAAAAATCCTGGGGGCTATGTTCTCCCCAGTCAATACTCGCTCCTTAGTATTGACTGATTTTAGTTTTCCTGGTGCCTACTTTCTCTGGATGGTGAACGGATCGCATTTGAACGCGGCGATCCCGTTTGATGTGGCCATTCTTGCCACATCTATAGCAACCTATGTCCTGGGATCTTCTCTGGTTCTCTGTCTGGTTATTGTTGACTCCTTTGTTTATTAGTAGCTCACATAGTTTGTCGAATTTTCTACACATCTCCTCCAAACTTCTGTGGGTACTCTCGGACTGTTCCTCTACCGTTACTGATCTTATCTTCGGTCTAGGGATGGCGCTAAAATCAGCTTCGATTTCCAGCGCCCTGACCAGTGCTTCGCTGCTAGTAGAAATCGGGACATTTGCAGCGCCCTCTGTAATTCGTTGTCCCTCAGTCCGCTGATAAAGCACTGAGCAGCGAGTTCTTCCCTAAATCCTTCCGGTGCTTTATAGATGTTAAAACAGCCGATTTTAAGTCTATGTTTCCAAATTCTGCAGACTCTCTCCGGACCTCTGCAGGCGTGTCTTGATCTGGGCCTGGTAAAGTTGACGTCGATGTTGGTCGCCATATCTTCTGTCCAGTGCAGCAACCAATGTTTCGTATTCCTGCTGTTGGGCTGCAGGAATAGTTTGCAACAGTTCCAGAGCAGGGCCGCGCAGCGCGATGACAAGTGCCGCTGCTTTCTCCTGGTCAGTCCATCCGTTGGCAGCGGCGGCTGCTTCAAACTGACGGTGGTACATTGTCCATGTCGTTTGTCCATCGTAGGTCGGGGCCTTAAGGTTCGTTGTCCTTGAACGCCAGGTGTCTTTACTTGTACCTTAGTCTTCTGTAGGTCCATCTCCAATCTTTCTATCTTCTGCTGAAGACGTTCCTCAAGATCTTCTACGGCTTCTTGAAAGTGGTTCTGCTGTTCCTGGCAACGTACTTCCAACATTGCTTGTTGCTGTTCCACCAAGCTTTTCTGAAGTCGAATTTCTTGATTTTCTAAAGTTTTCTTAAGACGGTCCTGATCTTCTTGTCTTTCTTTCTGGCGGCGCCTTTCTATATCTTCTAAAATTTCCTCCATTCATTTTTTCTGACGAATTTCTAAATTACCCAGTATTTTCTCAAGCCGGTCCTGTTCTTCTTGTTTATCTTTCTTTTGACGGGCTTCTAAACCTTCTAACATTTTCTCTTGATTTTCCATAAGTATTTTCTGTAGATGGTCTTGTTCCTCTTCTTTCTCTTTTCGCAACCTCTCTTGTTCTTCTGCCTTTTCTCCTCTCATATTCTCCATAAAATCGCCCAATAATTTGCTTACTTCCTCCATTTTCTTCGCCTGCTCCCTTTGCACCAACCATAAAAAATACTCTGAATTCATTCAAAAATCTTCCAATCCACTTAATTTCTGCTTAAAATCCTCTTGAATCGCACTTCCGACACCAATTGTTACGTTTTTCGTCGGTTCACTATTTAAACTAACGATAAAATACTTAACGAATTTATTTGTTTCACTCTGTACACACAACTTATACTATTTACAACACAACTTATGCAACTACTATTACTCTAACGGTATTTCGCGGTATTATCAAACTTCAGACTATCTTCAGACTTCAAACTTCAAACTTGTCCAACTGTCAAAGCGCGGGCCTTATACCCCCTGGCGGTTGTTTCTAGATTTTTATAAAGAATTCTATAATTTTCTTTACTTTCTGGCGAATGCGCCAGGTTCCTCAATGCACTTTGCGATTTTAGCAGTATGCAGTTATGCAACCAGTAATACACCTTGACAATATATATTTCACCGCAAAAAAAAACATACAATATCTGCAAATTTCCTAATTTTCTTTGGTTGTTTACCTTTTTTAACAGGGTTTTTAGCAGTCTTTCTAGGAAATCTGTTTAATTCTGCATTTAGTTGTTTAGTAATATTCTTTACTTTATTTTTTCAAATTTTGCTTTTTGCTCTCTTCTTTGATAGGAGTACTAGTTAAAACCTCTGATTTTTGAAATTTGCGTTTACGAGTTGTCAGTGGTTTATAAGGATTTGGTATTGGTCTTAATGATATGGGACTCTGGTGAAAGTTTGAACATCCAGGTTCCGGATTCGGTGGAGAGTCGTCACGGTCGTTATTTCCGCGAATATTTTTTGAAGCATCTGGTACCATTGCATCACCTTTTAGAGAATGTACAACAGGAATACTTGTCGCATTCGGTTCCAAAGTAGAAGAAACTTTAAGTGACTCTGTTCCTGGTTCTAGTGTAATGGCAATGCTCTGAACATTTTTTTTCTGGGGTGCTTTCTTGAAGTTGAGGCTTAGATGAGTCGCTCTTTTGTGGGTTTGTCTGGACGCGGAATCATTTCTCCTGGAGGATCAACTGTTAAAATCTTTTCTTGTAAATGTGAGGGCAAAGGAGTTGAAGAGGCTTCTGCAGCGGTATCAGGAATTTCTATTGTTTGTAAGGAATGTATGCTTACTCGGCTAATATTCATATCTGATCTGCCCACAATCACATCCGCTGGTTCAAAGTGTTCTTCACCAAAAACGTGTTTGTTTACTGGCCAAATGCCAGGCCGTTCAAATCCATGAACTGCATTTATGGCTACTGAACTTTTCAGAAAGGCTGGTGATAACAGTCTGGCTACGTCGTATTGATTTATAATGCCCCAGGATGAGCCTTTTGGAACATATTAACCTCTCTTTCAAAGTAGGTCTTTAGTGGGCCGTAAACGGCTACATCCATAGGCTGCATTTTATGAGTAGTATGCGGGGCCAGGGATAAAATTATGACATTATTCTTACTTGCATATTCCAATGCAGGATAGTATTTGTGGCTTTCATGGTTGTCCAAAAGTAAAAGTACCTTTTTGTCGGCGTTAGGTCGTGTATATTCTACAAAGAAATGCAACCAAGCAAGAAATACCTCACCTGGAGTCCAACCATTTGGTGTACAAGTACCTTGAGTCCCGAGAGGAGCACCGTCGAGTAGCCTAGACTGCATCTTCTTTCTGGCGAAAATAAGGAAGGGCGGTAAAAATGAACCAGCGGCATAGCAACAACCGGTCATTGTCGTTAATTGGCCACGCTCCGCACTTGCAATTACGCCTACCTGTTTCTTTCCTTTTATCGATAGTACTTTAGGGGGTTTGTTAGTTGTCGTGGAAATACCGGTTTCGTCCATATTATAAAATCTAGATGCGTCAATATTGTATTTGTCAATCAAAGATTCAAGATTATCATAGAAACGTCCGACTTCATGTCTGTTGAATCCTTTCGCTCTTGCAACCGATGTTGCCTCCGAGTCCTGAGAGTAATGGCATTGTGACGTGACAAAAATGATTGTAGCCAATCATCTCCGGCTTTTTCATACTTGTCCCAACTTTTTGGATAATTCAAATTATTTTTTTTGGCGTAGGTTGTTACGGTTATATATTTTAAAGGGGAATTAATTTTCTTATATTTATTTTAATTGATATATCTTGACAAAATGGTGAATGTGGTGATTTATTATTTTGTTTATAACCTTGAAGATGGCACGTTAATAAAATATAACAATACATTTCTTATTACATATTAATTATTTATTTATTTTCTATTTGGCTAAGTAAAGTAAATGTGCATTAACTTTAAATCATAATTTAACTTCATATTGTTGTATTTTAGCCAACAATATTTTGTAAATAATATCTTTGACTCGATCTGAGGTATTATTCTTCAGGTTATGGAAGGGTAAATGCATCGTGTAAAGACATCTTATTTATCTAAAATAACGTTAATTAAAGTAATATTACTAATAACCACTTTATATACTTACTTTTGGTATCTGTTTACTTCTGTTCAAGTGGAAATATTCATTGCATTTTGTTAGTTGTTTGGTTGCTACAAAGGAAACCATATATTATATTAATTATATTATACGAAACGATGTACATACCTTTTAATAACAATAATACCTTCAATAATTATTATTAATAAATAATCTGATTGTGATTTTTGTTTAGATTAATTAATTTAGTTAGGCATAAACGTCAAATCATCAACGGGTCTAACGGTGTTGCCAGATTCTTGAAGTTTTCTTAAATCATATTTCACCTCATTCATATTTAGTCTCTAAATAATTAATTTTAGCATTTAACTTATTTTAATACTTTATTTTATAATGATCTTAAACTCTTATCAATTGTATCTAGTTGTAATTGCATTTAACTTATTATTATTGTTTGATTTATTATTAAGTTTCTTTTATTATCGGATTACTCCTGGCAACATTGGTACTTAACTGGTTGCGGATGTACCTAGGGATTTTATAGCTAAATTTATATCAGGAAGGGGTATCGATATTAAAATTCCAAGCGCCCACCTGTCTGGTGATCAGTGTTGCCAGATATACCATTTAAATGGTATCTATACCATTTTTTCTTCCTTGATACCTGCAAAAATTTTGAGTATACCATTTTCCATTTTTCTACCATTTTTTGAAGACGTTACCATTTTTCTACCATTTTTTTAGAATCCCAGCGATCTACATTTTTTAAACTTTTTAATGCAAACCAATCTAGTTTTCACATTCACTAAAAATAGCTAATATTGTCGTGATCCTGGATTGGACCACTGTCGTCACCAATCTTGTAGTCGCTGCCACCAAATGTTGTAGTTCTCTATTTGACCCGTATCACCACTTGTTGGGAATGTTATTCTTTATTATTTTTTTTATAATTAAATTCTTACTAAGTTGTTACTACTTTTTATTTTTAAACTTTTAATACAAAATATAAATTAATAAAAAAAAAAAAACTTATGAAAATTTTTATGAATGTCCCTGGTCCCTTCTGTGACTGTGCTTTTATGAGAATGCCCTCCCCGAAACTAATGGGCGTACCTAATACTATTTCTTAATAATATTTTCAGGTAGGTTTGCAAAGGGACAAACATGACCATTTCTTAAGTAAATAGAAACCAGACATCGCGTCTGAAAGTAAACGAATCATGAAACTAAAATGATGCAACATTACACTATTTCTTCCAATTTCATCCTTAAGGTAATGGTTCTGTTTATTTGCATCTTTCTGAGAAGAATAATAACGTTGATGGTATTTTTCGTACCTTAAATTCTTTAGGCATAGCCGTAGAATAAGGGTAAAAATAATATTTTATACAATTTTTTTTTGTCAAATATACATATACATATAACCATATTAAATGTATGTTCACAACACCTCCCCTCTTAATGAGAGATTTCATGAGGTGAAAGTGATATGAAATCTCAAACAAAATGTTTATATAATTAATTAGTATAACTCAGATGGAAATGAATAAAAGTACATATATAAAAGTATTATACAAGTCTTAACTACTAATTATAACTAACTTATATTCTAACTTAACTAACATTTTTTTTATAACTATTGCAGATTTAAAAATGTATCAAATGCTCATTTTCTTTTAATTGTCGCCTTGATGGTACATACCAATGGGTCTGCGCGAGGGCGCCTGTAAATTTAACATTCTCTTCTTCGAAGTTTTCATAGTTACCTACATTTTCAGAGTTTTAGCTAATATTACGATTATAATGAGCAAAATATCTATCACTATTTCTAGAAGATGGTTCCACAGACTGATTAACTCTAATGCATAAGTTTTGAATAATTCCGCAACAGGCTGTCTCGTTAGTACATTTTGTATACAATTTATAAAATAATAAAATAATAGCAAGAAGAGCTAAGATATAGGCAATTACAGATGCTGGAAATGTATAATTGTTTACAAAAGTTTCTTTTTAGAATTTCATCACCTAACTTTTCAATATCTTCTAGCTTATGGCTCGCTACATTAAGTTCGGGATGTGCTTTGTTAATTTCTATAATGTTCAAGCAGAAATATTTCACTAATGTTTATTCTTTCTTCCTTTATCCTTTCGCAACAATCATCACTAATGTCGAATGGTGAATAAAATCAATTTGAAATATTGACTGGACTGTATTTCCATGAGGGATTAGCATTGATGATGCGCTATAAGCTTACATTGTTTACCTATAGTGACACTACCGCAATTTTTAGTATTACATCTACGTGATTTTTTTATTATTACATGATATCGTAAGAGTTTCTGGATGAGGAACTGCAAATAACCAAGTGTTACTTGTTTGTAGTTGAATAAAATTGCTCTATCTGACTGAATTATACAAGCCTGTCACCAATGTCGAATAATATTCTGGTATAACTGTTTTATCAAAATGCTTTTTGATATAGTTTTACATTTTAATAAGTTTTCTTTAGCTAATTGATTAGAATGTTCATTTTTTGTTTAAGATTGTTTATGAAATCATCATAAGTATAATTGACTTTAGGTGGTTGTTTAACTGATGTTGATAATGTAGGAATATGTCCAAATAAAAGTTCAAATGGAGAAAATTGTGTAGCAGAGTGAGGTGTAGTATTATATGTAAATGTTGCATAGGGAATCTAATTATCCCAGTCTGTTTGAGATGTCTTAATGAAGTGTCTTGAATATTCTTCTAGAACTTTAAGAGAGCGTTCTAGTGCTCCGTTTGACTCTGGGTGATAACTTGTTGTTTGAATTTTTTATCTTTAAAACTTGCATACTTTTAAAAATATCACTTAAAAATTGACCCTGATCTGTGACTAGCATGTCAGGTATTCCGTAAATGCATATAATATTCTTTACAAAATGATGCGCTACAGTTACAGCTTATTGATTTCTCATAGGTAATTATATATTTTGTTAAATCATCCTGAAAGGTTAATATGTATTTGTGACCATTTCGGTTTCTGGTAGTGGTCCAACTATATCTAAAAACATTTTTCGAACGGTTTTGATGCCGTGGTCGTAATTACCATAGGCATTTTGTTTTTCGAGACTGTTTATTTTTTTGACAAAGTTCACATTTTTTTATAAACCTTTTATGTCTTTTTTTCATACCTTCCATGTATATAATTGAGATAATTTTTTATATGTGCGGGATGACCCTTGATGACCTCCTAACGGACAATTGTGATTTTCATTTAATAATACAACTTTTTCAGCATCTGAGGGGTTGATAAGACAGTTGTTAAATATTGTAATTTCTGAATAGAGGTCTTAACACATTATATCTTATCATAGGAAGAACGATTTCCCATTTGACTAATGAGTTGTAATGATATTTATAAATGAGGAATTCGGTTTTTTCGTTGGATATAATATTTCGTAAAGTTAGTAAGCAAGACCAAATATTTTCATAATTAATATCACTGAATGTATGAATCATAACCGAACGAAGCATACTGAT